GACCAAGGCTTCCAAGACCGTAATTGAGCACAAACTTAGTTAAAACAACTCTTGTTTTATTTCAACGCTGGGAATTGTGTTCATTCCCAGCCTGTAATGAGTCCCCAACAGTCCCTCGAGATAAGCACCCACTTTTCTCTCCTTTGAATTGCTGCCAACAACAAAAGTGCCAAATGAACTATAAAAAAACCAACCAAACTATGAAGTCCACACAGAGCTTCAAGGTTTAATTTGAACAGAGCGAACGACTTTGCTTCCTGCAAAGGGGAGGGGCAATCACTTCCCAGCCTTACTCCTGAGTTACCCCTTTAGTCTCAGCTGCTCTTGCCTTCTAGCAGCTCTGCAGACACACGCACTGGGAACAGGCTCCCCTGGTTCCTCTGCCTCGCTGCTGCCAGACTCTGGAGTCTCCAGAGTCAGAACACCACTCCCAGATGGTCCTGGCTCCAATCTGCATCGGACGCAGGACTGAGTCCTCTCCGACTACAGAACTGGTCCCCGTTCTTCCCCACTGTCCAATTCCGCTGCCGTCTGCACAGGCTGCCGGCGAACCACAATATTTACGACTACTATTGAGCCTAACAGTTCTGTTGCCAAGTGAGACATTTGTTAAGTGAATTTTGCCTCAATTTTACAATCTTTCTTGCCATGGGTGTTATGTGAGTCACTGCTGTTGTTATGTTAGTAGCATGGTTGTTAAATGAATCTTGGCTTGCCCATTGACTTTGCATGTGTCATGCCTCTGGTGAAGATGGACTCTGAGGGAGAGGAGGAACAGCCAACAGGGAGTGGAGGTGTGGCTCCAGAGGTTGTGGAGGAGGCTGGGGAAGGACAGAGGCTGGCTAAGTCAGAGGAAGACCCAGGCCCATCCCTTCTCCATCCTAGGGCAGGCAGGGAGGAGAGGACCTTGATCCTTTTCATGGGCTGCAGCCGTGACAAATGCGTAAGAGTTTGGACTGCGTACTGGCGAATGCTGGAAACAAAGTGTGTTTTATTTTGGTCCGAAGTTATCTTGGTTGGCGTCCTTCCAACAAACTGTGCCTTGTTATCTCCTTGAATTTGGTAAATACTTCTCCTGTTCCGTGGTGGAAATTTCGTCATTGTAGTTTGTTTGGTTTTTTTATTTCACCTCTATCTGCTCATTAAATTCAGACTGTATTGCTTTCTTCTGAAGACTATTTTTGAGTACATTTTATCTCCAACTGAGTATTATTGAACAGTGAAGCCAAGTTGGAGGCATTAAAGGACATTTATTTACGTTTTGGATTTTGGTACGTTTGTGTTACACTCTGGGTCATCACAGCATGTCAGAAGGTTGCAAAAGGTCCCATATGATCCCAGGACACTCAATTGTCATAAATATGAGTCAGTTGTCAAGTGTCTGAATTTTGATCACATGACCATGGGAAGCTGCGAGGGTCGTAATGATGAAAAACGGTCGTAAGTCCCTTATTTCAGCGCTGCTGTGACTTCAAGTGGTCACTAAACAAATCGTTGTAAGTCAAGGACTACCTGTGCTTTTTTGTGAACCACCCAAAATCGATTAATTGGGGTGGTATAAATTTTTTTGCAAAGGTATAAAGATAGAAGAAAAAGAACTACAGGTGACACAGACATTTCTTGTGGCTGCATTTCATTTCTGAGGAAACCCTTTATTTATATTGGGAAAGAGAAGGACTGAACTGAAGAATTAAAATTAGCACTCTGCATTTTAAAACATTTTTAGTAACCAGAACAAATGCCACATTTAGTATCCAAAAGATCCGCCCCAAATGTAGAGAATCTAGTATATTCCAGGTAAGAAACTATAAATATCCTTAACGGGCCAAATTAGGGAAACATAAGATTCAAGTCTTCCCCGGTGAAGTTCATTTGTCTGGGTGGTAGACCAAAAATAGCAGGTGAAATTCTCACTGTGAATAAATACCAAATGCGGTTGTGTTGTTTTCAGGAAAAACTGCAAATGTCTATAATGCTGATTCAGAGGGGAAATCCTAGAAAACGTAGAAGGAATGTTCTTTCTGGAAACATGAAAATATTTGCAACTTTGGGGGAGGAAAGCAGTGGTGGGATTCAAAATTTTTTTTTACTACCCGTTCTGTGGGCATGGCTTGGTGGACGTGGCCGGGGAAGGATACTGTAAAATCTCCATTCCGTCCCCACCCCACTAACCTGCTTTCCAGCTCCGTTCTCCTGTGCAGGGCAACCAAAGAAGACCCAGCCGATCAGCTGGGACTCGGGAGGCAGAGAATAGATGGGGGCGGGGCCAGTCAGAGGTGGTATTTGCCAGTTCTCCGAACTATTCAAAATTTCCGCTACCAGTTCTCCAGAACTGGTCAGAAGCTACTGAATACCCACCTCTGATACCAACCTACGCTTGAAGTGGCCCATTCTGAAAACATCTTGTTTGAGCCTGATTGGCATGGATGTGTCAGCGACGGGAGCTAGTTAAGGATGGGAAATTTTGAACTTAGGGATTTGGGGGCACGATTCTCAGTTCTGGCTATGCGCTACTCCTGCAATGCGCTTGACTTTTAATAAAACTATACCTTTCTCAACAAACGGAGCCAAAGGTCGTTTCTGTTTAGAGGTTTAAGTCTGAGGCAGGTCTGACATTTTTACCAAAAGGAATTGGTTGGCTTGATGGTGGCTAAGGATTTGTGTAACAGAGTCAATGATAAATGTGTGTTTTAAATGAATGGAAATCATTTGGTGAACCATCCAAGAACTTAATTTTGTTTAGTTGCATGTGGCCTTCTTAATCAGAGCTTGTTCCTTTGATGGCTTGCCCTAGCTCCAATTCTTAGCTTTTGTTTTAATTTCTCTATTTAGCAGAGTAAGTCTCTATTTCAAGCGGAGTCCTATTCAAAAGAAGCAGAATGACAATCGTGTCTTGACAGGGACTAGAGCCTTCAGATATGAACTCTATGGGACTTACTCCATGCACAGGGATTTGCAGGAGCCCTTCAATAATGTCCAAACACAACTGCTCCCTTTTCAAGCGTTAGTGAAATGTTGCCAAAAACGCATCCCGAAGTTGTTGAGTTTGGATTGCTTATTGGACATAATCTTGCTGCCTTGGAGTAAAGAGGCAGAAACAAGTACCTACTGAAGAAGCAGGTGTGAGCTTGTGGTTGCGTTCAGTGTTAATTTATCTGTATGCCTTCCTGCCATTATAATTCCAGCGCTTTCTGCCTTCAGCAAACATCTTTATTAATAGCCTCCAGTACAATAGCGTCAATTGGCCTCTGCTGAATAAAAAACTGTTAATTGCTTCTTTTGTGAATAGAAGCGATCCTTCATTTTCATTCATCGTTCATTCATCATTCGCACAGAGAAAATCATCCTGTTTAAAGCTGGCTCAACCCCGCCTGCTGTTAATAAAGAAATTTATAGCTCTGCTTTATCTGATTCAGGAAAATTAACGGGACTTGAGAATGAATGGAAGATATTTGGTCTACCTCTGTTTCCCCCAAAATAAGACCCCGTCTTATATTTTTTGCCACCAAAAAAAGGCACCAGGTCTTATTTTCAGGGGATGTCATTCACTGACTAACCTCACTTGCATGCATCATCCCCGGTCTCCTTTTCACTGTCAGAGGCCTTCAGGAACTTCTTCTTCTGCGGCTGGCAAGGTTTTTCTGAAGGCCTCTGCAGCTGATAACAGAGCTCTGGATCAATCCAAACCGGTCATGCTGGAGGATGTTTCAGGCAGCAGAACGTTCTCCACGGCATCTCCAGACCCTGTCACGTCTGTCACATGTGCTCAGCGTGAACCTACTTTCATCTGTGAAGAGCACAGGGCACCAGTGGCAAATTTGCCAATCTTGGTGTTCTCTGGCAAATGCCAAACGTCCTGCATGGTGTTGGGCTGTAAGCACAGCCCCCACCTGTGGACGCTGGGCCCTCATATCACCCTCATGGAGTCTGTTTCTGACCATTTGAGCAGCCACATGCACATTTGTGGCCCGCTGGAGGTCATTTTGCGGAGCTCTGGCAGTGCTCCTCCTGTCCCTCCTTGCACAAAGGCGGAGGTAGCGGTCCTGATGCTGGGTTGTTGCCCTCCTATGGCCTCCTCCACATCTCCTGATGTACTGGCCTGTCTCCTGGTAGCGCCTCCATGCTCTGGACACTACGCTGACAGACACAGCAAACCTTCTTGCCACAGCTCGCATTGATGTGCCATCCTGGATGAGCTGCATTACCTGAGCCACTTGTGTGGGTTGTAGACTCCGTCCCATGCTACCACTAGAGTGAAAGCACTGCCAGCATTCAAAAGTGACCATACCATCAGCCAGAAAGCATAGGAACTGAGAAGTGGTCTGTGGTCACCACCTGCAGAACCACTCCTTTATTGGGGATGTCTTGCTAACTGCCTATGCTTTCCACCTGTTGTCTATTCCATTTGCACAACAGCATGTGAAATTGATTGTCAATCAGTGTTGTTACCTAAGTGGACAGTTTGATTTCACAGAAGTGTGATTGACTTGGAGTTACATTGTGTTGTTTAAGTGTTCCCTTTATTTCTTTGAGCAGTGTATTTCTTCCAACAATTTGGCATCCCAGATGGGACTCCAAGCTAACCTGACCAATGGACCTGGCCCAGGTAAGCCTTCCTTGCTGTCATGGACCCATTGAGTCTGTGGTTGAGTTTTCCAGGGCTTTGGCCATTTGGAACAAGGATTTTAAAGGGGTTTTGAGTGTTGAGAGCTCAAAGGCTGCTTGGAAAGAAGGTGAGTACTTCTAAATTTTAACTTTTAGAGCCCAGAAAAAGGCGGAAATGTGTGTAGGCCTGTGTGTGTGAATGAGAGGACCCTTCTCCCCGCTTGGAACTGAACCAGATGGATATTTCTTCCAACACAAGAGTAGAATGAGGGCAGAACACCACATTTTAGACTCAAGCAGAAAGCATTTGTATTAGAGTGTTGACAGTACAGCAAATGGTACAATTGCAAATTAATTTGACCACATAGTTATAGCAGCACTTGTCTCTTCGTACTCTAGTTATCATCTATAGAAGCCTTTCTAAGTGAGGACATCATCATGTCCTTAATACCTTTTCTGGGGTTTTCTTCTAAATCCGTTTTTATAGCACCAAATTCTGCCAACTTCCATTCAAGATCTGAAACAACAAAACCTATTCAGAGAAATGGAAAGAGAAACTGCTAATAACACGCATAACGTTTTATCACTGGTAATGCACACTTTCACTCAGAGGTATCATTTCTCCCACCTGATGGAACCTAGCATGGAATGCATAAGGTTGTCAGGTAGGACTAAAAGCTTAAAGGAACCTTATAAGTTTGTTAGATTTATTACTATACATTTATCCTACCGTTTTACATATAACACAGCGTGCGAACATACCTAATTCTCCTGCCTTTTATTTTCCACAACAGTGATTTTCTGAGGTAATTGGGCTCAAGAGAGTGTGACTGCCTTAAAGTCACCCAGTCAGCTTTCATGCACAAAGGAGGCCTCAAATTTGCAATCTCCTGTTTTAGCGCCTTGGCCACTACAGGCAAGGGTGGGATTCAAAAATCCCAGCAACCGGTTCACTGCCCAATTGCTGGGTGGGTGTGGCCATGGTGGGCATGGCCTACCAGAACGTCCAGGAGGGTGGTTTTTCGCCTTCCCAAGAGGCTTCCTTTGGGCTACTGGGAGGGTGAAAATGGCCTCCCCCAGGCTCCGGAGGCCCTCTGGAAGCCAGAAACAGGCCCGTTTCTGGACTTGCGGTAGTTCCGGAAGGCACGTTTTCCCACCTCCCAGAGCCTGCATCGAAAATGGGCCACGCGGAGACTCGTGGGAGGTGTGGGAGGAGTGGACGGGACGGGGCGGGGCAGGGCAGGGCCTGTCCGTTGGTTCAACTACCGGTTCAGTGAACCAGATGCAAATTTAACATCCAAACTGGTAGAATCCCACCCCTGACTACAGGTAGGCCTTGACTTACAACAATTCATTTCGTGACCATTTGAAGTTACAACGGCACTGAAAAAGGGGATTTATGACCATTTTCCACAGGGATACATGACCAAAATTCAGATGCTTGGCAACAGACTCATATTTATGACGGTTGCCATGTCCCAGGGTCATGCGATAGTCCTTTTGCAAAATTCTGACAAGCAAAATCAATGGGGAAGCCAGATTCACTGAACAAACGGGTTACTAATTTAATAATTGCAGTGATTCACTTAAGAACCATTGCAAGCAAAGTTGCAAAATGACACAAGATTCGCTCAACAAAGGTCTCACACTTAACAACAGAAACTGTTGGTCCTAAGTCGAAGACTACTTGTACAGGTTCTCACTGCTTGTTTCCCACTGTTCCTCCAGGAATTCAAAGCAACTTATATGGAGATTTCTCTTTTCATTTATCCCCACAAGAGCAAAGTTTGGTAAGTGAATCTGATAGAGAGATTGGCTGACCCCAAATCACAAAGTGAGCTTCTGTGACTATGAGTAGACTTGAACCCAGGTTTCAGTTTAACCACTACATTGCATTGACTCTCTGTGTATAATCCTCCAGTTCACTAATGTATTTAAATATATATATACATATATACATATATATTACCTTCTACTGTAAGTGCTGTTCCACCAAACTCCACAACTCCAATTAACTTGCCTTCAATTTTACCGTCCTTATAGACAAATATTGTAGGCAAGCAATTATCGTGATAATTTTCAATACAGCTCTTGGCAATGGCTTTCACAAACTTAGTTTCTGGAAATTTTATGGCCAGCAGGCTGAGGTATCTATTAACCAACGCACACATTGGAATACTAAAAGAGGAAAAGAATTTGATTATTAATCTTCAGTGGAAATATATAATAATAAACTTTGTTATAATGAATCTGAAAATGATGGATTATTAAAAACTCTGTCAATTGCTTATAAATCCACATATGCAAGTTTATAAATATGTTAGTCTGATTTCAGATGTCATTTTGTAATAGCAATAACACTTATACTTATATATCACTTCATAGTGCTTTACAGCCTTCTTTAAGTGGTTTACAGCAGTGGTGGTCCACAATAAAATTTTGGTGGTCCGCAGAGAAATGTCACCCCCAGAGCACCCCCCCCCAAAGCAATTAATCCAGGCTGCAGGGGGACACAAGGTTGCACTGCCCACATGGCCCGCGGGAACGTCGATTGCATGAGGAACAACACGAGGTAGTGAAGGGAGAGGGGAAAGGGCAGGGGAAACTTGTCTGGCCACTGGGTTGCTTCTTCCGCTTCTTTCTTCTTCTGCTTTTGGCTGCACACAAGGAAAGCAGCAAAAGTCTTTCTTTCTCTCCCCCAACCTCTGCCAGAAATGAGTCTTTGGGACCCTGCAAGGCAGGGGTGGGATTCTACAGGTTCGCACCTATTCACTAGAACCGGTTGTTAACATTCTAAGCAGTTTGGAGAACCGGTTGTTAGAAGAAATTACTGGTCTAATCCTGTAAGGAAGGCAGGAAGGAAACATTCTGATGTTGCTTATAGAAACTGCCTCTCTGTTAACCCTTATTACGTTATTGGCAGGACTAGACTTCCTGTCTCTGGAACTTTTCTGGAGTTTTTTCCCCCCCTCCTTTGCTGGTACTTTGCTTGTGTGGAGTGACCATTCAAAGTTACACTGAAGGCACTGAATAAGGCACTGAAAGAAGTGACTTATGACCCTTTTTCACACTGACAACGATTGCAGCATCCCCACAGTCATGAGAGGCCAGGCGAGGAGATGCGTGCCTCGATGTGAGTGATATTGAGTTGGCCACGGCCAAACAATAGCATGACCACCAAGCCACATCCACCCAGTCACATGACCACCAAGCGAAGCCCACCACCTAAGCCACGCCCACAGAACCGTTTTTGTTAAAAAATTTGAATCCCAACCCTGCCGCAAGGCATCCTGCTCCAAGAAGCTGCACCGGCAAAGACTCATTTCTGGCGGAATTTGGGGGGGAGAGAAAGAAAGACTTCTGCTGCTTTCCTTGCATGACACCTGAGAACGAAGCTGAAAAGCAGGCTAGGAATGGGGCTGCCTGTGGGGGGTGTGAAGGAGAGAAGGAGAGAGAAAGAGAAAGAAAATCACCAGCCTTCAAGGTTAGATCAAATCTCTCTTTCCCCCCTCTCTCTGAGAAGGGGGCTCAAAAGCATCTCTATGAAGCCTCTAGATCAGGCGTGTCAAAGTGGATTTCTTCAAGGGCTGGATAAGCATTGTAGTTTTCCTCCATGGAATGGGCAGGGGGGAGGAGACGAGACAGACGCCTCCTGCAGCACTCTGCTAGTGCGCCCTGTTTTCGGCCTTGATGGCTTTCTGCAACACTCTTCCAGCCAAAACAGGGCACGGGGAGGGACCACATGTGCCCCCTGCATCCAATTTTGGCCAGAAGACTGCTACAGGAGGCTGTCCAGGCTGAAAAGGAGGCACCCTGTTTTGGCTGCCAGGGGTACCACAGGCCGGTCCTTTGCTATTTCCAGGCCAGCCCTGTAGGCCAGATTTAAGCACCTTGTGGGCTGGATCGAACCCACAGGCCTTGAGTTTGACACCCCTGCGCTAGATCATTTTGGCTGACAGAGTGTTGCACAAGGCCATCCAGGCTGAAAACAGGCAGGGCTGGGATTCTACCAGTTCACACCTATTTGCTAGAACTGGTTGTTAACATTCTAAGCAGTTCGGAGAATCGGTTGTTAGAAGAAATTACTGGCCTAATCCTGTAAGGAAGGCAGGAAGGAAACATTCTGGTGTTGCTTACAGAAACTGCCTCTCCGTTAACCCTTATTACATTCTTGGCAGGACTAGACTTCCTGTCTCAGGAACATCTCTGGAGTTTTTTCCCCTCCTTTGCTGGTACTTTGCTTGTGTGGAGTGACCATTCAAAGTTACAATGGCACTGAAAAAAGTGACTTATGGCCATTTTTCACACTTATGACTGTTGCAGCATCCCCACAGTCATGAGAGGCCAGGCGAGGAGATGCGTGCCTCGATGTGAGTGATATTGAGTTGGCCACATCCAATAACATGACCACCAAGCCACGTCCACCCAGTCACATCACCACCAAGCCATGCCCGCTACCTAAGCCATGCCCACAAGACTCGTTGTTAAAAAAATTTGAATCCCACCCCTGAAAACAGGGTATGCCGGCTCTCACCACCACCCCAGCTAGCCCACGGTGGAGAACTACAATGCTTTAGATCTGGGGGTATCAAACTCAGGGCTCCAGGACGGCGTCACGTGACATATTGGGACTTTCCCCCCCTTTGCTAACTGGGTGGGGGCAGGGCCAGCAAGTGATGCATTCGGCCTGTGGGCCATGAGTTTGATCCTCTTAGGAGGTTCCTCCACCTCTCCGGATAAGATTTGGAGATGCACCAGAAAGTAAATTGGGAGAACAGGGAATGAGTGTGTCCCAAGACTGCATGCCTTTCTAGTAGCCAAATGACATCAGGGTGTGAAGAGACTTACTGTATTTACAGTATAAATCAGGGGTAGGATTCTACCAGTTCGGAACCGGATGTTAAAGTTACAGCTGGTTCGCCGAACCAGTAGTTCAACCAACCGGCTGGCCCCTCCCCTCCCAAGAGTTTCTACGTGGCCCGTTTTCTTTTTCTTTTTTTAAAGTTTTTATTTTTTTTAAGACAAACATATACAAACAATACCTAAAAACATAAAACCATCAGTGGCAAAACAAACCTATTTCCGGCTTCCGGTGGGCCTCCAGAGGCTGGGGGAGGCTGTTTTCACCCTCCCAGAGGCTCGGGGTAGACCTCTGGACACTTGGGAGTGCAAAAACGGCCTCTCCCAGCTCTGGAGGCCCACTGGAAGCTAGAAACAGGAAGTTCCGGTAGGCCACGCCCATCTTGGCCACGCCCACCCCGCAACCGGGCGGCAAACCGGTTGCTGGGATTTTTGAATCCCACCCCTGGTATAAATGTTCTAACACACACACACACACACACACACTCCTCTCTTACCTTGCATTATAAAGATGGATGACAACCCACACATCCTTTGGCGCATTTGTGACTTCCTTCACATACTGATTCCCAGCAATTTCATTCAGTTCTCCAAATCTTTGTCTCTTTTGTAGAGCTTTTAACTCTGCCAAACGTTGTTTCCTAATTTAACGGAAACCTTTCGTATCATAACCGTTAGCAAAATTGAGATGAGAGACCGTGAAAATATAGGGGTATTCAAACAATTTTACTACTGGTTCTGTGGGCGTGGCTTGGTGGGCGTGGCTTGGTGGGCATGGCAGGAGAAGGATACTGCAAAATCTCAATTTCCACCTTACTCCAGGGGAAGGATACTGAAAAATCCCATTCCCTCCCTCACTCCGCTAACCTGCTTTCCAGCTCCGTTCTCCTGGGCAGGGCAACCAAAGAAGACCCAGCCAATCAGCTGGGATTTGGGAGACGGGGAATAGATGGGGGCGGGGCCAGTCAGAGGTGCTTTTTGCCAGTTTTCTGAACTACTCAAAATTTCCACTACCGGTTCTCCAGAACTGGTCAGAACCTGCTGAATACCCACCTCTGAGGGGTAAGGTATTTTGTTATTGTATCAATCACAAAAACAGATGTAAAATATAGAAGAATTGTATGTAGTTGCATTCCAAAATGAAAGGGAAAGTAATATAACTCAAATCTAGGCTGCAGCCCCATGTGAGCACAGAACCTTATAGAGTTTTATTTCAGATTTGATGTATGCATAATTATGTGCAAGAAAAAAATTCCAGTTGCTTGGCTTTTCTCATTTGAGGGATTATACTAAGGATAAATAAAACTTCCCTTGAGTAACATCCCAGAAATTTGGAAAACTCGAAAGATGTGAGGCAAGCAGTACAGAAAGAGGACATACTCAGGTTAAGAGTACTCACGAGAACAATACGTAGTCACTAAATTTGAACTAACAGGTACATTATTTAGATGGGGATTCAGTGAAAATTGATTTTTGAAAGTAAGAACTGTAGATGGCGCCTGTTGCTTGACTATTTGTTAACCCAAGAACTAACCTTCCATGTATTTAAAGGCATTTCTAACATTTAAAAGTTGAGATGATGAAGATGATTTGTTTATCGACAGGGAAATATCTATTTCCCCTCACTGGGGTCATTGCACCTGTTCCTTAGAATTGGACATACCTGTACATTTCAACCGCTTTTAAATCTTCCTCATCAAAATCGTCTTCGGCTCCTTTCAGTTGCTTCAGATTCATTTTTTCATAAGGTTTCACTAGAAAAAAAGAAAGGGAGAGAAACAGTTATTTGAATCTAACCAAAGGCTACTACAAAATGCCCCAGTTTAAATATTTCTGGGAAAGAAGTGGATAACAAATCAAAACTTTTTTCTCTCTCTCGAGATTTAAAAGGGAAACTTATTTATTTTTATTCATTTATTTTATTTTTCATTTATTTTGATTTGTCAATCGCTTGCAAGATAATAGGTATACGTATATATGTAGTTATGAATACATGAAATGGGTACATATAAGACAAATAAAAGAAACAATAGGACAGGGATGGTAGGCACGTTGGTGCGCTTATGCACGCCCCCTACAGACCTCTTAGGAAAGGGGTGAGGTCAATAGTAGACAGTCTAAGGTTAAAGCTTTTGGGGTTTGGGGAAGAAACCACAGAGTCAGGTAGAGTATTCCAGACATTGACCACTCTGCTGCTTGAAGTCGTATTTCCTGCAATCAAGTTTGGTGCGGTTAACCTTGAGTTTGTATCTATTGTGTGCTCTTGTGTTGTTATGGATGAAGCTGAAGAATTCATTGACAGGTAAGTCATTGCAATGTATGATTTTATATACCATACTTAAATCAGACCGAAGATAGCGTAATTCAAGGTTTTCTAGGTAGAATTTCAAGTCTGGTGGCATAAGGTATTCTGCAACAAGTAGAGGAGTGGAAAACTCTTCTTGTGAAATATTTCTGGACTTTCTCAACTGTGCTAATATCAGATATGTAATGTGGGTTCCAGACTGATGAGCTGTATTCGAGTATTGGTCTAGCAAATGTTTTGTATGCTCTAGTTAGTAGTGTGCTATTACCAGAGAAAAAGCTACGTAGGATTAGGTTAACATCTCTTAATGCCTTTTTGGCTATATAGTTACGATGGGCTCTAGCACTTAGATCATTAGAGATGAGTATTCCAAGGTCCTTTACAGAGCTTGGATCATCAACAAGGTCTTGACTATTCAGCTTGTATTTTATTTTCTGATTTTTTTTTGCCAATATGTAAGACAGAGCATTTATTTGTTGAGATTTGAAGTTGCCATTTGTTTGACCATTCTGATACATAGTCGAGATCTTTTTGAAGGGTAGCAGTATTGTCTGTGGTATTGAACAGCTTTACATCATCAGCGAAGAGGACACAGTTGCTCTTAATATGATCACAGAGGTCATTTATGTAGAGTATGAAGAGAGTTGATCCTAGAACACTGCCTTGGGGGACACCACTGTTGACAGGTACAGAATTTGATAGGACGCTCCCAATTTTGACCATTTGTTGTCTGTTTGACAGGAATGCTTCTATCCAGTTATGCAGTTGTCCAGAGATACCATAAGATTTTAGTTTTAGGAGTAGTTTGATGAAGTCATGCCAAGGACCTCACCTTTAAATCTCATTTTCAGAAGTAACATATGAAATGGCCTCTGCGGGCAAAATTACTATTTTGCCAGCTTCGAATCTGAGCTCTCTTCTGTGAACTGTGGAGATGCTAGTTAATTCAATGAAGTCCTGACGTAAAATGGCTCATGGTTGAAAGGCTGAGGGATGGAGGAATGTCAGGCTATGTGTGAAAAGCTTCAGATTCAAATATTCTCTGTTTCCAAGATTCCCTTTCCTCCTGGAGACATTGCCTTTCCTTTACCTATAGCAGAGGTGTCAAACTCAAGGCCCACAGGCCAGTGGTGGGATTCAATTTTTTTTACTACCGGTTCTGTGGGCATGGCTTGGTGGGCGCGGCAGGGGAAGGATACCGTAAAGTCTCCAGTCAGAGGTGGGATTTGCCGATTCTCCGAACTACTCAAAATTTCCACTACCGGTTCTCCAGAACTGGTCAGAACCTGCTGAATACCCACCTCTGCCGCAGGCTGGATCTGGCCCACAGGATGCATAGATCTGGCCCATGGCACCAACCTGGAAACGGCAAAGGACCAGCCCACGGTGCCTCTGCCAGTGAAAACGGAGCTCAGGAAGCCCTTCCGAGCTCCATTTTCTCTGGCAGAGGGTTGCAGGTGACCATTGCAGCTGAAAACAGAGCTCGGGAGCCTATTTTCTCTGGCAGAGCCCCTCAGGCAACCACAGGCACCCCCGGCACAAGTGATGTTGAGCTGACCACACCCATCCCAGTCACGCCCATCCGCCCCCCTCCCCGAGGTCAGACAAAACCCTGATGCGGCCCTCAATGAAATTCTAAAACATATGAAGAACGGTTGCAGGAACTGGGTATGTCTAGTCCAGGGTTTGTCAACCTTTTGGACCTCAGGGACCACCAAACTCATAATTTTAAATCCCAGGGACCACTAACTGGTTCTGTGGGTGTGGTCTAATTTATGGGTGTGGCTTGGTGGTCATGTGAGTGGCTGGGCATGGCTTGTATGTAAATATTATAAATATTTATATAAATATTGAATTTTTTAATTTAAAAAAGAGCAACTTCTACCCCAAATCAGGCAAAGCAGGCAGGCAGATTGAGTTGCTCACAGAATCATTCAGTGATCTATCTATCTGCCATCGGCTAGCTCAGTCTCTCAAATTTGCTTGCCGTGAGTCTGCACTGAATAATAGAACTTTCATTCCCAAGGGAGGTTCGGCTGTGCTTAAAAGCAGAGCTGAAGATCTAAAGACTAGCTAGAAAGCAAGAAATCCAACCATTTCCTACTTTCTAGCTAATCTAAATCTCCCAGCACAGCAGAACAGATGATGGTCGGAAAAAGGAAAAATAGTTATTTAGCAGGCAAGTTTGCCAGGTAAGGAGTGAGTGGGTAGGGGGGGTTCCCGTGGGCCATGTGGGCTGAGCAGCCTTGCATTTCTGCACAGCCTGGATTAATTTCTTTGGGGGGGGTGCTCTGGGGGTGAGATTTCTCTGTGGCCCACCAAAATTTTATCATGGCCCACCAGTGGGCCGCGGCCCTCCGGTTGGCGACCGCTGGTCTAGTCTAATGAAACCTCTTGGTTATATATCTGGCTGGCAAGAACTAGAAGATTACTAATTATGATAGGAAAGGAAAAAAAATCATGTTGCAGACATTTTAATTTTGGGAGTTTAGCTATGGAAGGCCTACCTACGGCGACCGTGTTGGTGAAAGGAACAGCGGGGCACAGGTGTGAGGCCCAAGGCAGCAGCTTCCCCTTGCTTTTTGAAGAAAGTCTGTATTATCTACATATCATATTAAAGTGCTTAATTTGCTACAGAGATGAGAGGAAGTTAATTTTAATAACTGATGAAAGCCGGGCCCTTACCTTCTGCTTCCTTTTGTAAACGTAAAACCATTTCTTCAATTTCATCCTTAACCTCTTCTTTTGGAGGCAGAATCCCAAAATCTCTTAATATGTCATTCCATTCCGTGTCCTCATTTGGATCCTTCGTGAAGAGAAGTCCCAGATATCACTAAGTTACAGCATGCAATCATCTCCCCTCTACTTGGACAACAGAAGTTTTTTTTTTTTTAATCACTTCCTCTTCATTAGAATCCTTTCAGAGATCCAGAGGTCCATAAATCAGAAGGCCAGAAATGAATGGCCTTGTTAGGTTTTAATTGACAGCATCGCCTTCCCTTCTCCATTCATTCCCTAGAAATTCTCTAGAGAATTTTAAGGTGAAAGAAGTCAACCTCCCCCCACCCTCAAATAAGATAGCTATTTAACTGCCAAACAGGAGGCCCGGTGGCTCAGTTGTTTAATGATGCTGGAGATAATCTCAGCTCCTGAGGTTCGAGCCCTAGCACTGCATGGCGGGGTGAGCGCCTGTCCCTTGCCTCTGCTTCTGTCCATCTAATACCAGTAATTTGAAAGCATGTTCTATGCAAGTAGATAGATAGGTACACTTAGTGGGGAGATGAGCTGGTTGCTCTGTGCGGGTAGTCAGATTCCTGTTGGCTCTGAACCTGTTGGCTCTGAACCTCCTGTTGGCTCTGAACCTTCCCGGTTGTGATGCTTGTTTACGAGGCCGCTCCAGGTACGGAGGGGGTCTTGGGTGATGTTGCAGGAAGAGCTACTCATCTTTCTCTAGGGTTGGAGTCAGCTCACCTCCTTGTGGCGCACCTTGGGAAGCACGCAAGCATTTCCTATAACAGGGCGGGTACCTTGGCAAACCAAACTACTACTCTGCAATAGCATTGTGGTCTCCTGGCTACTGTAACAATGCCACTCTCATCATCATCATCATCATCATCATCATCGCTGAACAATCTTTCCTACAAAAGACAGCAATAGGAACAGTGGCAGGCAAACTGAATTTTTGCTATCCAGGTAAGAGGTGATGAGTAAATGAAAGCAGCATTTTGTCCCAAAGGTTTTCAATTTGTTGTTGTTCATTCGACACTTTTCTGCTTCTCTCCAACATGAATTGACTTTTTTCCACTGATTTATACTTCTAAATTTGATATGAAATCTATTTAGAAACTTCAGTTGGTTGATCAATACCGGGATCATTCCGGCTAAATTATATGTACTTAGATATTGATTGCATATATTTTCCAGGTGACTTTCAAGACATTGTTCTTAACTTTCTAAAGCAGGAGTAGCCAATATGGTGTCCATGGCAGAGGTGGGTATTCAGCAGTTTCTGACCAGTTCTGGAGAACCGGTAGCAGAAATTTTGAGTAGTTCGGAGAACCGGCAAATACCACCTCTGACTGGAGATTTTACAGTATCCTTCCCCTGCCACGCCCACAGAACCGGTAGTGAAAAAATTTGAATCCCACCACTGGTCCATGGGCATCAATGTCCTGGTAAATATACAATCATTGATGGTGCATTCTAGACTCTCAAATCAATTTTCTTACAACTCTTGAATCCTAAAATATTTTCCCCAGAGGATAGGTAAGTCATTGAGACACCAAGGGAATACATTTTGGCTCACAATACTGTAAATATAATACAAGGGACCTGAACTTTGGCTAACTTATCTTGTTATACATTTAACGTAAATTATTTCATGTTCCCTGTTCATTTCTCAGAGTATTCCATGCATGGACTTGTCATGCCCCTGTTGGAATCTGATTCCGAGGAGGAGGTCAAACAGCTGACAAGGAGTGGGAGTGTGGCTCCAGTGGCTGTGGAGGAAACTGGGGAAGGGCATAGTCCGGCTGGGCATTCAGAGGAAGACCCAGGGCCACCTCCTCTTCATCCTAGGGCACGCAGGGAGGAATGGATAAGGGAGCAACGTGAGTTACGTGGGTTATGGGGGAGAAAAGGGCCCTGATTCCCTTCATTAGCTGCAGCTGGGAAAACAGGATTTAAAAAGGGTGTTTGCGCACAGCACCTTGCTGGAAGCAAAGCGTGAATTAATCTTTGTTTGTCAAGTCTTGTCTGGGTTCTGGCGTCCTCCCAACTGTATTTCATTGTCTTTTGAAGTCTGCAATTCCTTATCCTGCCCTGTCTCGTTAATTGCTGCAGCGTGGTTTGTTCTTGGGAGAGTTTTTTTTCCAGCCAATGATAACTAGACATTGGAGGCCAAGTTGGAGGTATTAAAGGGACTTTACCTACTTTTGTGACTTTGTTGCTTTTATGCCACTCCCTGGGTCATCATGGGATTGCTCAGAATAAATCATTCTTAATCTGAGTTGCTACTAAAACACTGCTGATCAAATCAGCATATATCAAAGCACCATTGTCTTGAAAACAAAATGAAGATTTAAAGTTGGGCAAGATACAGCTGATCCAAAATATTTTATTTGGAGTCCCTTACTGTTTTGGGTATATGATGGGCCATTTTTGGTCAAATTAAGTGTAGAAAATATATGGTCTTTGGTGTGGCAATTTCAAGATGCATGGACTTCGATTCCCAGAATTCCCCAGCCAGCCATAGCTTACTAGTTTTATAAAGATAAATAGAGATAAATAAAGATAAATACTATTATTTGTAAAAGATAATTTTAATAATAAATAAATATTTTTTTTAATAATGGGTGCATGTGTCTGCAGTACAATTTTAAACTTACTGTTTAAAATTACGTTAGTTGTCACATTCCGGAATCTTGAATTTATCATTCTTTAAAAAGATGGAAGATTTCTAACTGAATTTTCAACATTCTCATAAAAGTAGGATTTCCAGTACTGAGATACAGGAGCCTTGAGGCCTAATAACACTGATAGTTTTGTAATATAAATAATGTGCCCTTATTTATTTAAATATTTTAAGACTTGTGAGGAATGTTTAGAGACAAAATATACAGTCATAAAATTACGTAATTGTCCAAAGGGCTCTAGTATTACTCACTTCTGCAAGTGTTTATCTGTTATGGCTGGTGTAGAAACACATTTTCAACATAGGATGCCCATAAGTGTCTTTATTTTTCATTTCTCACAGAATTTAATCCATTGGAGTTAAGAGACAGGTTTGTAGACAAACTTGAACCTGGGTGTCTTTTAAAAAAATATTAGTTATTGGTTCAGTCACCGTTTGCTTTGTTCTTCATGTATATATTTATGCTTTGCCTTCTTCATCTAAAACAGTGTTTTGCAAACTTGTTGACGTTAATTTGGTTGGCTGGGGAATCCTGGGTGTTGAAGTCCACACATTGTAAATTTGGCAAGTTAGAAAAATGCTGATCTAAAGTGACATATGCGATAACGGTTCTTTCCTTCCCACTACTTTTTATTCAGAAGAGTTTGTACATCAAACAAAGCTATGATTCCTTAATTTTGGTTTTGATAGCAAATGCAATTAATGCAGCTCATACAGTAGAGTAAGTTGTCAAGCATGGTTAACAAATCCACCATAGCTGAATTCATGCATCCCTGTAAGACAAATCTAAATGAACCATATGAAGTCTACCCAAAATATTTGTCTTTAATGGATCTCTGGATTTCGGCAGCATAGAGTAGGCCTACTATAATTCAATACACTTTAGCAACTATTAATGTTTGCTTTCATATTTCGTTTCTAGAACTACTGCAGCCTTTCCTCCCATCATCGGGTGCATTTACCCTCGCGCAGTGCAATTTTAAATTACAACTGATAGACCTTGCTGCTTAATAATCTCACTTTTTTCTTCTCCGTGCTGTTTCAGGGCAGTTTCCTTTCCCAAACCACATCTAATAGTCCTTTTGTGGCAAGTTCCAATGAGCTTAACTTGGGTCAAAGCAAGCAAGACTTCATGTCCTACTCTATTTTCATTGTGAACAGCCCAGAAATAAAAACACTTTTCCATTTTTATTTGAGTCAACTGCTACCTACAGGTAAAAGTGAATATACTTGGTACAGAGTAAACATACTATATATTGTTTTAGCTCTGACCTGCATGATGCTTAGGAGCTGCCAAGGGGATACCCCAACACTGAGCTCAGATGCCACCAGCTTACATCTTCTTGGGCTTTCAGCTGAATAACCAACCAACCAACTGCTTCAGAATGTGGGAGGAGCCAGTAGAAGGTCCATAGCAGTGGATTCCTGCACTGGGCATGGCCTTCAATGTCCATTTGCAACCTTTTCAGTTTGTCTCAGGAAGTTGTGAATGCTCCAACACAGGACGCTTTTATGAAGATTGACAGCCACTTGTCTGAAATTATAGGGCTTCCCACCTAAGCAGGGGTTGGACTAGAAGATATCTAAGATCCATTTCCAACTCTGTGATTTTGTTCTGTTATTCTATGAATTGTGAAACACCTTTTACCATAGATATAAAAAAAAGGAGTCAATGTAATACACAGGCATAGACAAAGCAACAAAGGAAATGGGTAATACTTGGATAGTTTATGTTCCATATTAGCAGGCTTGAAACCCTGCATTCCTATTGGTCTGTGTTAACCGCTACCTGATTGGTCAGCCTGGGTGTTTATGATTGGCTCGCTAAGAGTCTGCCGCGATTGGTTAAAACCAAGCGCGGGAGACTCAAAGCGATGTCATTGGCCACCAAGCCTCGGCAAGCTCTATAAAAGAGCCGCCGTGGCTGCTACCTTCTGAGTCTGATCTAGCCTATTAATAAAGAGCTGTTGTTACTGAACCCGAGTCTCTCGTCTCTGAAATCCGTCCTTCCGAACTTAACAGTTTATGAATTCAGCACACTGATATTCCAGTCTCTGTCCTATCAGTTTCTTCTCTGCAAGTGGTAGAGGTAATCCGTAGGGTGAGCCAATAGTAAGAAAAGCACAAAAACAAATGAACAAAGGCACTTTATTGTAGCATCATGGATTCCACACTTATTTCCTTCCACTGATATCAACCTATTAGGCTAATCTGATGAAGATTACAAGCACAAACTGTGTGGCACATGTGGATAAACGTTATGTTTAAGATACAAAAGGGATTTGCTCAAAGAATAAACAAATACAGCTACTGAACACTATTTGTTATATTTCCCAAAGGTAATTTTTACTCACTGTTCATGGTTCCATTTTTTGTAAACTTTACAATGCTATAAAGCAGAGATCTCTAAACTTGGCCACTTTAAGACTTGTAGACTTCAACTCCCAGAATTCTAGAGAATTCTGGGAGTTGAAGTCCACAAGTCTTAAAGTGGCCAACTTTGGGGACCCCCTGCTATAAAGCCTCAGTGTGTATCAGTACACTGCACATGACTCCTTGCTGATATGTTGTCTTGAAAGGAGCCCTAGATTGGAATCACATCTTGCACAGAATATGCAGGCATGCTTTGGGAAAAACTAGACTTTAATTGTGCTTTGACCAAAATATGCCAGAAATGATCTGTACTTTTCTAACCATTAGAAAGGAATGCCAAATGTGGCATGAGTAGGTTGGTAACGTCGTGTGCTGCAGAAAAAACAATTACTACCAGCCTGTCTTCCATTGAGGACCTGTGTACTGCACAAGTCAAAAAGAGGGCTGTGAAAATATTTACAGACCCCTCACATCCCAGACATAAACTGTTTCAACTCCTACCCTCAAAACGACACTACAGAGCACTGCACACCAGAACTAGACACAAGGACAGTTTTTCCTGAACGTCATCACTCTGCTAAATAAATATTTCCCTTAACATTGTCCAACTATTTACAAATCTACTATTACTATTAATCTTCTCATCCTTCCTTTCACCCATCTCCTCCCACTTATGACTTGTCGCTGTAACCTGGTTGCTTGTATCCTAAAGATTTTTATTGACCATTTCCTAGTATGATTTGATTGCTTATTGTACCCTATGACTATTATTAGGTGTTGTACCTTATGATTCTTGACTCTTGATGAATGTCTCTTTTCTTTTATGTACACTGAGAGCATATGGACTAAGACAAATTCCTTGTGTGTCCAATACTTGGCCAATAAAGAATTCTGTCTGTCTGTCTGTCTGTCTGTCTATCCTACATCTGTTCCATCCTACAACAAAACAGCATGTGAAAGCCTCCATTCACCAAAGTTATGACAAGCAAAGGAGAATCCTACGTGTAGGCCCGTTTGATGCTGACCACACCCTGTGGAAAAATGAGAATGTGAGAGGAGGCAATGGTCAAGAGCAAGCGTTTCTCAACCT